AAAGCATGCGATGAAAGCATGCAGCAACATGGCAAATGATCAACACCTGAACTCAACGGTTCAAGCGGTCAACAATGCTTCGACATTTTCGGCCACCCAGCAGCCTAAATTTTCCGGAAATTTAGGGAGCTGGGCCGTGGCTTCTGAACATGATCAGGCTGCATCCGTTTCCTAAATTTCCTGAAAATTTTGGGTGTGCAAATTTTCGGAAAATTTAGGAAAGCGATGAAGCAAATTTTCCGGAAATTTAGGGACCGAGGCTTCGGGCTACCCGGAACCAGAAATTTTCCAGAAATTTAGGGGAGCGAATCCGGCTTGCGGCCGTCGAAGAGGCCCAGCCTTTCAAAGGGCACAGCCCAAGCCCCAAAATTTCCCGGAAATTTTGGGTCCCGGGTAGGCCAAAGCGGCTTGCTCGCCGGGGTCCAGAAATTTCCGGAAAATTTGGGGCTGGGGCACTCCGAGGCGTGACGCACCGCATAGGGCTGGTTTGACCGTAGCGTTTTATAGAGTAGATATTTCAATTTCAATATATCGAGAATAAATCGCACGAGAAATTTATATTCCAAAAAGAATAAATAAAATATCATCCAGAACATAATCAAACCAAGAAGGATATTTCATAATTGCAAGAAAATTTTTCTATTTTTGAAAATCCTCCTCCCAATTCATTAAGAATTAAGAATCTCGAGAGAAATTAATTTCAAAAGATAAGATATATCGAAATGAGTCGTTTTTCAGTGGTAGTAGGGACATATAAGGCCCAAACCCTGCGATGGCGTACAAAGTTGTAATGACATTGTGGATACCGGAAAGACCTTTTGTTTGCATCCTCTGCGCCTGCATAGTCGATTTCTACCAGATAATTTGTCATGTTGAGCCAATCATGTAGCTTAGCCACGTAATATTAGCCACGTAATATAATTTATAGACCTACAAGGATTGTTTCTGTGCATAATGAGGTCGCGCTTGGCTAAAGTCGTGGAGAGTGGGGAAGGAATCCTGTCATCCTCATGGAGTTTGACACCGGTTGTTCTCGGTTATTCGTATACGACCAGGGTTTACACCACCCTCAACAGTAGGAATCAGCTTGCTTTCCGGTGGACCTGTCTTGTTTTTGTCCTCGCGCCGTCCTCAGTCTTGGGCAAGACGACTTTCCTCGCTTAGGTTTGTCTGTTTGCGCCGCCCTGAGAAGTATACACTCAATAACCACGCGTACCTTGCCACTATACAGTACAATTCTGGATGACGAAATCATCTTTCCAAATTGCAGCCGGAGCTAGCGTCTCTGATGTGCTTGAAGTATTCGATGTTCCAAATAGCGATATCATATTATCAGAAACACTCAGGAAGTATGGCAAATGGTCATATTTCAAGTATCGATTTCAGTGGGTTGTTTTTGTCACCCCATTTGCGCATCCATCTATGATCTCGAACCCTTATCGGAATGTCACCTGGATGATCACCTTTTTCAAGCCACAACTGGATGATTGCGTCGCCTGTTCCGGGTTTCCTGCGAAAATTGTCCAACTGCTTGTTGATACAGGATGCAGAAACTGATATGAGAAACGATCTTCTGTCCCTGGCTTGGAGGCTCTGGACTCTAGACGCTGGATGGACAGAGCCCAGATGTCGATGCCCCAGCCCGGTCTCGAACAGGGCCACATGCAGACGGGCATATCCCAAGAACACGCATGAGTGGACACATGTTCCATATCCCTGAATCGCTGAACCCCTAACTCCCTGAAGCACATCCAGAAAATCCGAAGTGCTCTCAAGCTGTAGCGACATTGGGCAACCCAAAACACTGGCCCTAAGCTGCAAGCCCAGGCTATTCGGGTTTAGGGTTTAGGGTTTCAAGGTTTCGAGTTTAGGGTTCCGGGCTTAGGGCTTCACATGTTCCCTTGAGCTTGGGATGCGACAACAAGGACAGCATCGTCGACCTTCGAGAAACGTGAGCACACTCCTTGACGGAAATCTGAAGATGACCGGGTTAGTAGGGCTTCGGGTTTAGGGCTTAGGGGTTTGGGGGTTTAGGGTTTAGGGTTAAGGGCTTAGGGCGTCGGGCTTAGGGCTTAGGGCTTAGGGCTTAGGGCTTAGGGCTTAGGGCTTAGAGCTTAGGGCTTAGGGCTTAGGGCTTAGGGCTTAAGGCTTAGGGCTTAGGGCTTAAGGCTTAGGGCTTCGGGCTTAGGGCTTAGGGCTTAGTGCTGCGTCATGAATGTGGGTTCGATGTAGTCGAGGGGGCACCTTCTTCATGCAAAAGAGGTCCAGGACTGCGCCACAAGCGTTAAAACAGTTGGAGCCAAGCCTTCCCAGCACCACTCTCACAGGGACGGGTGTTCAAAGGGGGTATGTAGCCCAAGGTTCCCTAATACTCACCACTGCTCCTTAAGGCTCCGTAAACTTGTCTAAGGTTCCATAATAATTACCCCCCCCCCCATGAAGCGCCCTCCTTAAGAACCCTATAACTTAGGTTTGCTTCGGGGTATAAGGAGGCACCCCTAGAAAGGGACCCTTCATCCCATGCCTATATATAACCCCTATGTAACCCGTATAGATAACTATAGTCCCTTCGTTAATCCCTTGAGTTTAGGGAACAGGGTGGAGAAAACAACCCTCAACCCTAAACCCCTAAACCCCTAAGCCCCTAAACCCCTAAACCCCTAAACCCCTAAACCCCTAAACCCCTAAACCCCTAAACCCCTAAACCCCTAAAACGCTAAACCCCTAAACCCCTAAACCCCTAAACCCCTAAACCCCTAAACCCCTAAACCCCTAAACCCCTAAACCCCTAAACCCTAAAACCCCTAAAACCCTAACCCCTAAACCCCTAAACCCCTTAAAACCTAACCTAAACCCCCTAAACCCCTAAACCCCTAAACCCCTAACCCCTAACCCCTAAACCCCTAAACCCCTAAACCCCTAAACCCTTCTCTCAACAGGATGGCTTGGCCCCACCCAGCTAGAGCCAACTTGTTCGATGCGCGCAACGTTGCGGATGCAAATCTCTCCGAGCAGCGGGCCAGGGGAAGCTAACACTTCCTGCGCAGTAGAAACCACGGTGCCCTAAACCCCTAAAACCCCTAAAAACTCCCAAAAAGCCCTAAAAAGCCCTAAGCCCCGAAACCCTAAACCCTAAACTCTAAACCCTTAACCCTTAACCCTAAACCTAAGCTGCCAACGGATTCCAGAAACCTCCGGCCTGAGTTAACAAGGCTGCAGGCCCCCTCTCGCTTCTTTGCTAAAGTCGCTAGAGGGTCCAAGGGTTTAGGGTTTAGGCTTTCGGGTTTAGGGTTTGGGGCTTAGGGTTTAGGGGCCTACAAGAAATACGAAAATAGCAGCAGAAGCAGTAGTAACTGCAATCATCCAAAGTAGAAAAAAGACTGTGGCAACAATGGTAGGAATACGAATTCGCATAACGGACAAAATCATGGCGAGCGCGAGAAGAAGACCTTGCTTACGCGTAGACTGCGCTTGACCGCAGCCCCTTCCTAAACCCTAAACCTTAAAGCCTAAACCCTAGACCCTACACCCTAAGCCCTTCCCCATTCATGGCTGCCCGGAGCAAAATTTAAGACAATTACAAGCAATCCATCCCTGAAGGGGGCCTCATAGAGGGTGAGGGTTTAGGGTTTAGGGATGTTTAGGGGGTTTAGGGTTGAGAATAGGAACAGTGGAACCCAGGGCTGAGTAAAGCAACCCTAAACCCTAAACCCTAAACCCTAAATCCCTCGAAGTTCTCCGCAGGGGCATCCCATCAGGCCATGCCAAAGTCGGAGTGGGCCAACTTGACCTCAGCTCGGCCTCAAGGCCACAGGCAACGCAGTAGTAAGCTTAGGGTTTGGGGTTTAGGGTTTAGGGTTTAGGGTTTAGGGTTTAGGGTTTAGGGCTTAGGGTTTAGGGTTTAGGGTTTAGGGTTTAGGGTTTAGGGTTTAGGGCTTGGGGTTTGGGGTTTGGGGTTTAGGGTTTAAGGTTTGGGGTTTGGGGTCTAGGGCTTAGTGTTTAGGGTTTCGGGTTTAGGGTTTAGGGCCGTTGGACAAGAGAACGAGAAGAAGAACAAGAACCATGTCAATAGCTAGTGATATCAGTAAGAATTTTGATAACAACACCAGAGACACATCGTCAGGATGACAGAGGCTTGCTGCGAAGCTGCATAGATCTTGAAGTTTGGTTGAAATCAGAGCCGCTCTGCATCATGAAAGCTCAGCTGCTAGATTTCCTTTTCCCCCATCACCCTGCAGTAGAGTCAGACCCTCAACCTTAAAAACCCTACACCCTACACCCTAAACCCTAAACCCCAACCCTAAACCCTAAACCCCTAAACCTTCAACCCCAAAACGCCTGAACCCTGAAACTCGAAACCCTGAACCACTCAAGCCCCCCAAACCCTAAGCCCTAAACCCTAAACCCTAAACCCCAACCCCAAACCCTAAAAACCCACAAGCCCCAAAAGCCCCACCCAACTCCCTTCAGCTCTGTCAGCTCCTCGGGCCCCAGGCATTAAATCTGCGGGAAGCTGTAGCCTGGCTAGAAGGATGAAGATACTATAGGGTTTAGGGTTTAGGGTTTAGGGTTTAGGGTTTAGGGTTTAGGGTTTAGGGCTTAGGGCTTAGGGCTTGGGGCTTGGGGCTTACGGCTTAGGGCTTGGGGCTTAGGGCTGAGGGTCTAGAGTTTAAGGTTTAGGATTTAGGGGTTGAGGTTAATAAACTCATAGTGTTCCTTTGATGGTCCCTACATAAGTTATAGTGTCAAGCCCTCCCAAACCTTGTTCTAACTATTCCTGCTGTTACGAACTTTGCTAGTCTTGCTGTTACAACTGCGATCACTGCTAGGGTTGTTTAGGGGGGGGGGGTTTAGGGTTTAGGGTTTAGGGTTTAGGGTTTAGGGTTTAGGGTTTAGGGTTTAGGGTTTAGGGTTTAGGGTTTAGGGTTTAGGGTTTAGGGTTTAGGGTTTAGGGTTTAGAGGGTCTCCTGGCCAGGCCTGGAACAGCGAGAGCCAAGCCAACAAAGACGAGGAGGACGGCCAGGACCTGCGATTTGGGACTGGAATCTCGGTCCTCGATATCTCGCAACAGCTCCAACTTGGGTACTTCTCAACATAGGGGTCCGGGGTACCCCTATTGATACCCCAAATAGAATAGGATCCCCTTAAAGGGACTCCCAAAACGGGTACCCCCCCATTTTCGGAAACCCCGACATCAGTAAGCATCCAAGGCAAGGCATCCTAAACCTGCGCAATGCTGCATGCGGCGAGCTCTGGGATGCTCTTCTGTGTTGCTAACAACTTGCTAGCAAGGGCTTTGGGTTTTTAGGGTCCTAGGACACAGGAGCTGAGCGTTTTCAAACAAATGAGAAACCTCTGTCGAGGCACCTACTTAGATGAGCCGCAGAGACTTGGAGACCTGAGCTTTGGGGGGGCATAGCCACCATAGCCACCCCATGGTGCCTGTTGCGGCGCAGAAATCCCGTTGATCGCCTGAGCAGCAGAGATGAAAAAATCGGCCTAGGAAGCTGTTCGCATCCTCTTGAGTACATCAAGTGTAAAGCTCCGCATGAATAGAGAAAGCCCAACTGCCCCTTTACGCGTGTCCGGGGCATGTGGAGCTGTGGAGCCGCGCTTTGTTGAACAATAGACTTCTGGACAACCTTCTGTGTGCGTATGAAGCATGGTCTCCCCTCTTATCGTGAAGCTCGCAGATCCATCTTCGGCTGTAGAACGAAGACTGCACAGCGTGTCCACATGGCATGCTTTGGCCGCATGGGAGACCAAGCATCACATTGTACCTCGTGAAACTTAAAGCCAAGACTAGGACGAGCTCTGAATGACGGCCCGAACATGTCCCTCTTCCAGACCTGCACCCCGCACGCAACGGCCAAAAAAGCAAACTCTTAGGTCCTTTTCCGGCTACGCAAAATACAGGGCTCCGTACTCCCAAGAATGGCCCCAAACCCTACACCCCAAACATAAATTGAACAACAGGGTCCCCCTTGTATGCCCTGAATATAGCTTTGTAAGGAAGCCCCAAGATCAACTTCGGGAAGGCCCTGTTTCAGTACTTCTCCAAGATATGGTCCCTTGTCGGGGACTCTTCATAGAAGGCTCCACATTGTCAGAGGCCCATCTCAAACCTCAAACCCAAACCCTAAAGACCCTAAACCCCAGACCCTAAACCCTAAACCCCAAACCCTACTAAGCCTAAACCCTAAACCCTAATCTAAACCCGAGGCCCTAAACCCACACCCAAAAACACAAGAAGCTGGAGCTCGCCTCCTTGGGTGGAGCCTCCGCCCCTCCGAACCAGATCAGGGCCTGACACTTGAAGGCTCTTGAGGGTTTAGGGTGAAGGGTTTAGGGTTTAGGGGTTCAGGGGTTAAGGGTTAGGAGTTTAGGCCTTCAGGGTTTGGGGGTGAGGATTTGAGGGCTGAGGGCTCTTTAAAGCTTGGGCCTTGGAGTTTAGGGCTTAGCGGTTTTCTGCCGGCTTCGTTGGCTCAGCTAGTTCGGAATCAACCCTAAACCCTAAACCCTAAACCCTAAACCCTAAAACCCTTGTGAAGAGGCACGATTCGACAGGAAATGCTGGTACGCACCTGGGAAAGCCCCAGCCGAAGATGGGGGAGCTGCGGCGATCCACGTGGGAGGTTCTCTAAAGTGTGGTCCCTTTGGGGGGACTTCATTGTAATTCCGAGCCGTATAGGGTTTAGGGTTTAGGGTTCAGGGTTTCGGGTTTCGGGTTTCGGGTTTAGGGTTTAGGGTTTAGGGTTTAGGGTTTACGAATCCCCCCATGTCAGGGCGCAAGGCTCGCATGGGCTTGGTCTCGGACCGACACGCCGAAGGCCAGGTACAGCGAGCCAGCATCACCCGGGCCCTGAGCCGCTGCTGAACATGTTCCCTACACCCTAAACCCTAAACCCTAAACCCTAAACCCGAAACCCGAAACCCGAAACCCGAAACCCGAAACCCGAAACCCCAACCCTCCACATGTTGAGACAGTCTCCGAGCTCCAACACGACACAGCGCACGAAGCCCCCACCCCCCCCCCCACTGTAAGGCCACTGCAAAGCTGCCATAGAGCACCAGGGCCGTAGCTGCAGAACAATCAGGCTGTGACATATGGGTGCTTGTCAAAATGATGATCCCTTTTAGGGTACCCTGGTACCCTAAATATTAGGTGCCGAATAAAAACAGGGATCCAAAAAAGGACCATAATTTTTGACAACCACCCATATCTACACAAGATCAAAAGGCCTTAATAATCCGCCGAAGCCTCGGGCTGTAGCCCCACACCCCCCCAACCCCCCCACCCCCCACCCCCCCCACACCCCCCCCAACCCCCGCCCCACCCCCCCCTCCCGGCGCAGGAACGGGGCCTGGGAATCCCGCACATTGGCTGCAACCCCCTCACCCTATTTCAGCTTTCGTGGTTGCGGGCTCCACATGCTCAGGGAGCTGGCCCAGACCGAGGCGGGTCGCGTAGCGTTGAAATTAGAATTGGGCCTTTTGGGGGGTGATTAGAGTATACTTATGAGGGGGCCATAAGGGAATACTCAGAGTAATTCTTCCCACCCAAGGTTTCTCGGTCCAAGGCGTGTGGGCTAGCAAGGAGTCAGGCCGGGATCTGCAAGAGTAGGCTCTTGCATGCTGCTGGCGGAGAACTTTCTACTAAGCACGGGACAACATGGGATCACCCAAACTCCACCACACACAGAGAGCACTAACCCAGTCCCAAGAGTAGCCTAGGACAGCAAGAATGTCACCGGGTGCAGGGTGTAGGGTTTAGGGTCTAGGGTCTGTGTACACTGTGGACACAGTGTGGTCCACACCGGCCTAGAAGGCCAAGGGGGGAGGCCAGTCCGCCCAAGGCGTTGCGTGCCAGCACCCTGGGCCCAAGAGTCAATTGGGTTTGGAGTTTAGGGTTTAGGGTTTAGGGTTTAGGGTTTAGGGTTTGGGGTTTGGGGTTTAGCGTTTAGGGTTTAGGGTTTAGGGTTTAGGATTTAGGGTTTAGGGTTTAGGGTTTAGGGTTTAGGGTTTAGGGTTTAGGGTTTAGGGTTTAGGGTTTAGTGCCTAGGGTTTAGGGTTTAGGGTTTGGGGAAACCCTTCGAACTCCGAATTGCTTTGGCCCGGACCCGCCGTCGAGGCGGCCTCTGCAGATGGATATACAGCCGGGCGGGGTTTAGGGTTTAGGCTTAGGGTTTAGGGTTTAGGGTTTAGGGTTTAGGGTTTAGGGTTTAGGGTTTAGGGTTTAGGGTTTAGGGTTTAGGGTTTAGGGTTTAGGGTTTATGGTTAGGGTTTAGGGTTTAGGGTTTAGGGTTTAGGGTTTAGGGTTTAGGGTTTAGGGTTTAGGGTTTAGGGTTTAGGGTTTAGGGTTTAGGGTTTAGGGTTTAGGGTTTAGGGTTTAGGGTTTAGGGTTTAGGGTTGAATCCCCACATACCCTTATAAGGAAGACTATTTCTATTTTTTGGGTGGTTCTTGAGCAATTCGTAGGGTTTAAGGTTTCGGGCTTCAAGGCTTAGGGTTTTGGTTTCGGGGTTTCAAGGGCTTTAGGGTTTAGAGTTTCTGGTTGCAGGGTTTAGGGATTTCAGCTTTAGGGTTTAGGGCTTACGGTTTTGGAGTTTAGGGTTTCGGGCCTTAGGGAGCACCACTGCCAAAGGTGCCCTCGCAAAAGCTTCTGAGTTAGGATGGGCATCGATGAGCATTCTGGCATTCGGGGCTCTAAGCTTCTTTGCCTCTTGGGACGTTGGCTAGGAAATGCCACATGCTCGCAGCAAGGCAAAGCCCTCTGGCACACCGCCCTCCCCCAGAATCGGACGTCCCCTGCCAAACGCTGTACTAATTTACGAGCCCTGCTCGGATTTCTGCAAGAAGAGAAGCAAAAGCCAACACCACCAGCCAAAAACATGCAACTTCCAGCAAGACATGCCTATCGGAAGGAGCGTCAGCGCAGTGAGGATCAGGCCTCGACAGGGAGTTCTTGTCACGTCCAAGCCAACACACCCATACCCCTTCAGAAAATGCATGCGGAACATCGTTTTCGAAACCCTAAACCCTTAACCCCAAACCCAAAACCTTGAACTCCAAACCTACACCCAGCAGCATGGAATCCCAACGTCACACACGGCCAAGTCTGACCCCTCTTTGCGTGGGGAGGTTTGCTGAAGTCTCGATGCTTGATTAAGCGAGGTTTTATGCAGCACGCCCTGTTAGACTTTATACACATACCCCTGGAAAAAATCGAAAAAGTAGATGCCCTTAAGGGGTAGTATGGGGTACTATTTGGGGGCTCTACTTTTTGGATCCTCCTTGAGATCTGGGTACATGGTGACTTGTCCTATTTATATATTCTCTATTGGGCTAAACTTACGTTGTATATATGTGCTAATATATACCTGCATACACATGGGTGTTTCACAACCCTCTTGTCCGACACCCTAAACCCTGAACCCTAAAACCCAAAACCCACAACTCTGAACCCTATCTGCGGAATCCCCTCACATGAAGTTTTGACCTGCTCGTAACTGCTTCGCTTTTGGGCCCCGGGCCACAGACGCCCCCAATCTGAGAAAGCAGAGTTTCGGGTTCTTAGGGTTTGGGGTTAAGGAATTAGGGTTTAGGGTTTTATCGAAAGAGGACACGCTTCTAGAATCACGGATTAAAAATTTCCGGGACATGGCCAGAGAGTGCACTAGGCGCATTCCCCCTTGCTTAGGGTGTTCATCAACACCGTAGCATGACGACGTGCTCTGCATGAAGTGTGAAGGGGCCTCTTCCCTGTCAGAGCTCCAAACCACGGTTTAGGGTTTAGGGTTTAAGGCTAACCCACAGTTTAAGGTTTAGGGTTTCACCCACAGTTTAGGGGTTTACAGTTTAGGCTTTGGGGTTTAGTGCTTAGATTTTTGGGTTTAGGGGGTCTCATATGGGGGTTTACGAACATAAGGGACCTTGAATATAGACCCCCACATAGTAGGATTCCTTTATAACAAGTACCCCCACAAGGAACCCTAAACCCTGAAACACTGAGGCTCCAGCAAGGATGGGGTTGGCAGCAAAGGCGAGCGCCGTCGGGTCCGCAAAAGGATCCGGCTGGGTCGTGACAGACCTCAGAAACGGCGGTTTCGGGTTAAGGGTCTAAGGGTTTAGTGTTAGGGTTTAGGTTTTAGGGTTTAGGGTTTAGTGTTTAAGGTTTAGGGTTTAGGGTTTAGGGTTTAGGGTTTAGGGTTGAGGGTTGAGGGTTGAGGGTTGAGGGTTGAGGGTTGAGGGTTGAGGGTTGAGGGTTGAGGGTTGAGGGTTTAGGGTTTAGGGTTTAGGGTTTAGGGTTTAGGGTGTAGGGTTTAGGGTTGAGGGTTGAGGGTTGAGGGTTGAGGGTTTAGGGTTTAGGGTTTAGGGTTTAGGAGTTGAAGTCCAGGGAATCTCGCAGCCGAAACAAGGAGCTTTCTGAGAGGCTGGCGATTGCCCCAGGAAAGGGCGCAAGGCAAACTTCACCAGCACCTGCACTCAACTTCACAGATGGTCTGTTGGACATGGCTGATCTTCACTGTGGGCACTTTTCGGTGCTCTAAACATTCAAGCAACAGACTATCATACTAGAGTAGAGATTTCACAAGGCTCCCTAACTTAGATGGGTTTAGGGTTTAGGGATTAGGGTTTAGGGTTGAACTAGGGCTTGCTCAAAAAGTCATCTGTAGGGCCTATGATTTCACAACGGCGTCAAAAGCATTGAAGGTGCTCTACCGGCAACAAACATTCTCATATGTACATCAATATGATTCGTATTGCTATATTGTAACAAGTAATTCTGACGGTGGCTCACCCATACCACAAGTATCAACATTCACATTAACAGAAATGCACTGGCTCACACTGGTGGCGCACCACACGCTTCTATTGTTAAACTCGGTAATCATGTGTGAACGTGAACTCCCTCAACCCTAGACGAGGTAAACATGGGCCCTCAACCCCTAAACCCTAACCCTTTGGCCGTTCTCAGAATACTGTAGCAAGACTAACTTTAGGGAGTAGCTAAACGAACTTTAGGGGTGCTACCCTAAACCCTGAACCCTAAACTAAATAGGGCTTTACCCTGCCATCTCAATGAGAGCCGCGCCGGCAGGAGCTGATAGTTGAGATTGACCACAGTGTCCTTCGGCCACACGGGCAAGGGCAGCTTGGGTCCAGGCCAGTTCTGGTGAAGACATCGGAGTTCTCAAAACTTTGGGGGGGTTCAGGGCTTCGGGGTGAGGGTGAGGGGTAACTGGATGATAGGACAGCGTAAAGAGGAGCCATAACCTAGAACCCCCCCCCCCCCCCCCGTTCTGCAGCAAAGGGCCCAGTGCAACACACAAGAACCGGACGCTTCTTGTTGATGCAGCTCCAAGCCTTAAGCGCGCTGACATCGGCTCCCAAGGGGCCCACTGAGGGCTCCGGGAAGTAATCAGCACCTAACACGTGACTGGCGAGCTTCCATCCAACGATGGAGGTCAAGGCCAGTTCGATCTGCTCTTTCAGCAGCAAACATCATCAAACTCTTTCAAAGGCATCTTGGCAGCAGCGACCACAGGCAACCATGCTTTGGCCACAGGTCGCCCCCTGTGCTGGCTTACAGCAGCGCTTGCGGCTCAGAACTCACACGTTCGACCGCGTCACCACCTCGGAGACCGCAGCCCCAATTCTCTCTCCCTCTAACCTACCCTCTCAGACTCAGAGCCCTGTTGTAGGAATCAAAGTCTAAAAAGAAGCGGAAGCCGCTTAAGCAAGGGACCCTAAAATTCTGCACATGTTCCTCTCTCTCTCTCTCTCTGTCTCTATCTATACATTGCGTATGCATAAACCATATGTCTCTATATATATATATATATATATACAATATGTACGTAAGATTGCATAGTTGTTTGTGTCCATTTTGTGCAAAGCTATCTATTTATGATTTTTTAAATGAGGCGCAAAGACAAAACATCGATATCCATATACTTTGTGAAATATGCATATTTACATACTTATGCCTTTTTATACTTGTGTGTTTTTGATATGTTTGCATGTCTGCTGCAACCTTCGAGTTGCACGGTTCACTTACCACAGTTCCCACCTTTCGCACGCTTGCTCAGCCCATATGCTGGTGCAAGAAGGGCGGCCGCAGCCACACTGAGCTCCGGAGAAGCTACGGGATTCAGGATTCATGCACCTCTATGCAGCACAGAAAGAATGCAAGTCATGTGTCCAGCAGTTCGGATTTCCAATCTCACACTTTGCAAGAGAAACTGTAACTAACAAGATGCCCCGCCATCATCTTCCTGCCCCCATTCTGGGCCCCAAGCGCTCCAGCCGCTTCGTGGCGCCTTTGAAATTGTCTAGGTGATACCTTGGCAAAGTGAAGGTCACCTGAATCCTAATAGTTATTGTAGCAATAAGAAGCACAATCGTAAGAATAATAACAATAGTAAAAATCGTAATAATAGTGAAGAGTCATAATAGGAATGATCGTAATCATAGTACTAGTAATAACCGCAAAAATAGGAATAATAGTACTAACAGGAATACTCAGTATAAGAGTACTAAAAGAAATAGGAGTCACCAGAGCAACAAGAAAATGATAATGCTGATAGAAAAATGGTAATTGTAGTAACAAGATAGTAGCACTATAGTACAGTAGTAGCAAGATCGTAACGATGTAGTAAGAACATCGTAATATTCTCGGAAGTATATAGAAACAATGCAGTAAGAATACAATACTAAACAAGTTGAATATAGTGCAGTAGTAACATAGAAATACTGAAGAAACAATATAGTAACTGTAGAAATGATATAGTACTAATGTTAAGAATGACAACATCGTAATAAGAGTAATAGTAGTGATAATGGTAAGCACAGTCCTCGCACGTGAGGACTGCGGGAGGAGCTGGCACAGCGGAAGCACTCCCAGAGCTTCTCATAGCAGTTCTCATGCATTTCCTCACGCCAATCAACAACTTGCCACGACACCGTGAAGATGCCCCTTCCGCCAATGATGCTGCCCGTTAGCCCGATGTGTGTGTGTGTGCAGCAAGCCAAGTGACGCCAAGTGCTCTTCCGGCAGCTGGAGAAGAGCCTCTGCAGTGTTTCGGACTTAGTATACTACCTTGTGTACATTTTACCTGGCATCTCATGTCTTTGCCGTATATTTTAGTATCCTTACATTCTTATCCCATAGAATAGCTTTGGGCCAAACTCGTTTTTCGAGTTGAGGCACAACTCAGCACCACTGAAAGCATGATCCTGAAAGCCCTACATCCACCGCCAAGCTCACAGCCACAAAATCCTGCTACTAGTAGTAGTAGTAGTAGTAGTAGTAGTAGTAGTAGTAGTAGTAGTAGTAGTAGTAGTAGTAGTAGTCGTACTGGCAGTAGTAATAATGATAATAATAATAATGGTAGTAGTAGTAGTAGTAGTAGTAGTAGTAGTAGTAGTAGTAGTAGTAGTAGTGGTAGTAGTAGTAGTAGTAGTAGTAGTAGTAGTAGTGGTGGTAGTAGTAGTAGTAGTAGTAGTAGTAGTAGCAATAGTAGTAGCCAGTAGTACGATTAAAGACGAATACTCGTCGATGAACACTCACACAATCATAACGCCAATATGCATAGTAAGTACAAAAATGACAAGGACCATGACAATGACAACAGCTGCAATGATAAGAGTACTAGTTCTACGCCAGGAGGAGGACGGGAGCCCTAATTAACCTCAACGAAAAGATAGCGGTTATCATCGGAACCCCAAAAAGGGTGCCCCGATTCAGGCAAAACACCATATCCACCCTGAACCTTATAAACACTAAACCCTGAATCCGAAACCCTATAAACTCCACAAACCCATATTCCCTACAAACCCTATAAACCCCTTTCCCTCAACCCTGATCCTAAACCCTGAACCCCAAACCCTAAACCCCGAACCCTAAACCCCAAACCCTAAACCCCAAACCCTAAACCCTAAACCCTAAACCCTAAACCCCAAACCCCAAACCCCAAACCCCAAACCCCAAACCCTAAACCCTAAACCTCCCCCTCGGTTTCGCGCCTGGATCCGGGGGTCATCTCCCAGGAGCCCTCGCAGCTCCTCGGCGGCCTCCGGAGCCGCAGGGGCCTGGAGAAGTTTCTGCAGGGAAAGTGGAAGCGACATCTGGGGGTGTTTAGGGTTTAGGGTTTAGGGTTTAGGGTTTAGGGTTTGGGGTTTAGGGTTTAGGGTTTAGGGTTTGGGGTTTGGGGTTTAGGGTTTAGGGTTTGGGGTTGGGGGTTTGGGGTTTCGGGTTTAGGGGTTGGGGTCTGGGGTTTAGGGTTTAGGGTTTAGAGTTGAGGGCTTTAAGGGTTTTAGGGGGTTAAGGGGTTTAGGGGTTTTAGGGGGTTTAGGGGGTTTAGGGGGTTTAGGGGGTTTAGGGGGTTTAGGGGGTTTAGGGGGTTTAGGGGGTTTAGGGGGTTTAGGGGTTTAGGGGGTTTAGGGGGTTTAGGGGGTTTAGGGGGTTTGGGGGGTTTAGGGGGTTTCAGGCGTTTCAGGCGTTCAGGGGTTTCAGCGGGTTCAGGGAGTTTGGGGGTTGTGGGGTTTTTGGTGGCCTGGAGGTTTAAGAATTTGGCGGTTTGGGGTTTCGGGGCTTGGGGTTTAGGACTCGTTTCGGGAAGCTTTCTCAACCCAATCTCCGAGAATATCTCTCAAGGTTTCACGAAGGCATGAACTGACTTGAAGCTGCTTGCACTCAGAAAAAGACAGGATTACATCCTGAAATCGGGGAACCTCTTACGTACCCCCCTAATGCAACCTCCAAAGAGGGAAATCACCCTAAACCCTAAACCCTAAACCCTAAACCCTGAACCCTAAAGCTGGGCTCTCAGCTGGCTTGCCGGTTCTCAGCACTTCATCCAGGAAGGACGTGTCCAAGGCCTCAGCGAGATGGCTTCAAACAAGGGACTCAAGGGGGGGGGGGGGGGGTAGGGGTTAGGGTTTAGGGTTTAGGGTTTAGGGTTTAGGGTTTAGGGTTTAGGGTTTAGGGTTTAGGGT